TCAACATGGCTGATTCTATACAGGTAATTGGAAGAGCGGGATCGTGATTTGGTCATGGTAAGCCCACGTATTAATCAGGATATGATTGCATTTTCCTTTAAAAAATCATCATGAAAAGCATAGCTTCTTCTCAGTTTTGCACGTGAGCGGTCCAACTTAGCCTCACAGACCTCAGACACGGCATGTATGGGCTAATATAATACAGTGTTTTCTGTACTGCTACACAATTCTACGTGTTCTGGTTGCCTTTAGTATCGACATGTTGCTTTTGCACATCTGAAAGTCAGTCATATCGTCATGTATTCGGCGTTTTGCTGTTCAGTCTATCCGCAATGCGATCGTAGTTTTGCTTCATAGTACGAAGATCGGTTTGTTGTGGTATAAGGAGAACGCGAGTGCTAACTCTTTCAATCCAATCGTAAGAAATGCGGTTCAGTAAGTCGAAGCAGGCGCGGCGATATCATGTGCAAATTCGACAAGCCAAAACATTTTACCCCGACAGTCTAGTCAGTCCGTGCAGGTAATATGACAAGTGCATTCCGCTATATCATCTACTTGTGGCCGACATCCTAAATCTGTTACCTAGACTCTTGAGCAAAGTTTGCCAGAAAATCACTGTAAAGTGCGAATTTCAGCCCGACACAATTACTACAGACAAGCAATGTAGGAGAAACCCATTGCCAAGAATCGACTTAGCCGTATCTTCACTGGTGACGATCTCCTTGTCAGTACGATAATGCATTTTGTCGGATGGGTTGCAAATACCACATCACTAGCAATACTAAATGCCTAGTTTCAATGTCTAGAAGTTATCCACACCTATTAGATGCCGATATATAGCGCCTACTCTAAGGTGATCTTCGGTTACTCCAAGTGTATAATTTTTTAAGGTTCTCATATTATATGAGGAACCACGACCTGATAGATATCTGGTTAGGAAATGCTGTAAAAACGCAAACCTTTATGTACGGAAGAGTGGCGCAAATAAATACACACACGTTTAGAAGTACGAAATCTGACTTTCAAGATTATAAGTTTTTTTACTTTGTTTGCTGCACGTATTGCCTTGTCCCTTAAACAAAGTTTCAATCACAGGCGGCTTGCCGTAATATCACAACTGGCACTACAATAGAACAGATCCATAAGTAGCTTGTCTAATGGTATACCCGCCACTGTGAGCAGCCATCTTGTCGTTGTAGTTGAAGAATCTGCTCACAACGCTGTCGGGTGTAACGACGCATGACCTGTATACATCAATAACGACTTAGAGTCAAGCAGATGTACTCTGCTTTTGACGACTACAAACTTATTTGCAAATATCTTCCAATAACTAGCAGGGAAATTATTATCTGCAGCTTTGAGATGACAAGACTTAAGCGCAATCACGCAAAGACAGCCATCAACATCTGACAGGAGCAAGGCAAAGTCAAAGCGAAATGAGGACGGTAAAACGGTTGATCTGAATTCAATAGGCTCATCATCAGGATAGAGATGTGACCACGATTCACAGTTTTAGCTCGCTTTTTCTGTTCCATGTCAGCACAATTAAACGTTATTTACACTTCTTACCGTACCTATGTAAGTAGCTGATCGAGCTAAGATAATTCCTTAAGTAACTTCAAAAGAGTAACTCTGACTATTCTATTTTGGTCATTATTTTTGGCAGAACTGTCCGCAGGCAATGTTTCTTAACCCACATCCGGAGTTAAGGATATCGCCTGCATCACAGACGCAATAAATTATGTTGACAGGTGGAATCTATAAGCGCGTATACTTTGGCACTGCTCACAAAAGTGCGATGAGGTCATCCACAATTGAATCCTCGTGCTATGAACGACTACGGCTGTTTTTTCTGTCAGAATAAGTTTGTGTATAGACAAATTAGCTAAGCTAGCGGCCAAGTCATCCCACGATCGAGTGTAACTGGTGTATTAGACATGTCCTGTGGGATAACCAGTTACCCGATGACCACCTGGTCGGTGTACTCATCACATTAAGAAATACACAAAATATCTAAAAGCAGTTTATATTTGCTGTCCACTACACTACGAGTACTGAAAGCTCCAGACCATGCTATCCGTCAGCATAATTTAGTCAGGTTACAGCATTCAGCTTATCATAAAGATTCACAATTTTTGTAAAAGATCGGCACCTAAGCTGTATGCCAACCCTCGCTGATCAGACCCACTTCGTATACCGCATGGATCAAAACGTAGCTGAAATTATACTGATATTTGGAGGTAATAGTTGTCGGATGGTGCAGTGTTGGCTCAGGAGCTAGAAAATCCAATGACGCACTCCCCTATATCGAGCATTTTGCGGGGTGATTCTCATTTCACTAGGATTGATATGTTTGTTCAAATAGTAAAGGGAGTCCGTGGACACCTTCTAGAGAACTGTCTTTTACACTTATGACGTACATTTCCGACTACCCAGAATGTCGGAATTATCCCTTACGGATGCTCAATCCAGATTCTATTTCATTACATGTCATACAATCAATGTCTTACAATGATTTATGACTCCCGTGAAAAGATTTCGCGGTCAAAAGAGCTTTCGCAAACCATGACGACGATGTTCGTGCAAGCCCGCGAGCTACTCCGCTCACTATAATTGAAGAGTGTGATTAGCTACAAATCTATGAAGCTTCAATACATGGTACTATGAAGCGTCAGACAGCAGTGCTGACTCAGCAATCTTTTGTAGAAGAGAGTGAGCAGAGCCTTACAATTCTTAGAGCTACTGTGTTTACTCTTTCACGATTAAATAGTCTCACTCAATACAAAACCGCTGAGCTTAACGCTACGAGCGCGTCACACAGTAGTGCTGACTAAGCCGTACAGTTGCCCGTTAGAAATAAAAACAGCGTGCTGGGGCAATGAAGACGCCAAATACAGAAGCAACATTCTTGCGACTTGCAACATGCGCACTAGTAGGCGCAAAATGTTAACTTGAATTCATTTTAGACATTGGAGGAGTTTGAAGCTTAGAGCGTTACTTGTTCTGGGCTTGTGTATGACATGTGAGGCCAGTCTAGGTGTGACATGAGCTGATTGGCAGGAGCCATGAAGTAAATAGCACTTATATCCTCATGAAGCTGGGATGAGCTTCGAAAACATTTGCTAGAAAGCAGAAGCGCTTCTGGCGCAGATACAAAGCTGCGATAGCTCTGGTGCGGGACGTGGGATAGTCAGAATGAATGATCATCGATACACAAAGAATAGCATAAACGTAAGAGTGTCAGAGCTGTGATTGCTGAAAATACAGGAGGTATTGACTGTATTTTGCGATCCTTGTAGTATAACTCTGCCTTCCAGTGTTACACGATTCACATGAATGAACGGTAGTATGTTGGGGTGACCGTGTTGACGCTCTACCCTTGTCTACGGCATACCTGTTTTCGATTAATGACTCGCTATTTTTGTGCAGCATCTTTGCTGCGACGGTAAGTAACAGCTTTTACTATGCGACTCCTGTCTCGTGACATGTGAAGTGGAACAGCGAATCTGTGTCGCTGATAATGTGCTGAGCGGGCGAAGAGTTAGAAGATTCCACCGCGTCAATTTGCACTCATCGAGTCCCACTTTGACACATCACTCAACCCACACGACACGAAGTCGTACTTGCACTGGTACGACATTCTTTAAAGGTCTCGATGCGAGCCGCGCTTTTTCAGAATTCCTACGTGACGATAGGAACCATTACCGTTTCTTGGAGAAGTATTCTACCATTTCGGTGTTCTTAGCCATTGAACACAGCCCGCTATTCATTACCTCCCATGACAAGTGGACAAATATCGATTGCACAGTGCAGTTCGGATAGGTGGTGCGAAAGCCTGCGACATTTATCGCTCCAATTTCTTCACAGAGAACCTACACGCGTGTGTAATTTTTGCGCGCGGTCTCTTCGCTTAGTGACTGCAAGTGCGACGCGCTGCTATTTTGTCTGGTGCACGGTCGAATTTGTGACCATATTAAACTATCTAATTTATCGGGAGATTTTCTCCATCTTGCCTCGATAAAGCCAGATGTGCTGTTTCTGACGATTAGTGAAGCCTTCCTGAAACTGTTTCTCAAACATTCTCGTAGCTGGGTACAGGCTTCTGGGGCTAGTGGCTTGCCATCACCTCGCGATCAATATAAAGTGTAAGATTATGAGATGGTTTAAGTTGTTTCCGAGATAAGTTGTCCAACAATTTATGTCCCACTCTCACAGATAATATAGTTCTTTCGCGCCTCCATCGTCGGATTAACTTCGTGTACTACCTAATACAATGGTTGTCGTACACTTCGTACACAGGGAGCTCATACAATTTACACAAAACAAAGACTAAATACACCTGTTCTAGTATGTGCAGTAACATATAATATGTATAGCATATGAACCCTCATCGGTACCAGTACGTTGGTAATTGCATTATTACGCACATCATATGACGCAATCGTGTACAGTACTTAATTCCACACACAGTAGCCAAAAAGCATTGATGATAACCAGAACAATTGTATATTCAGAGGGTTTTTCAAACAGAAGGCTGCAGGTTTCTCCTGTCCAAAAAACATTCAGGCGGAACGACTCAAACGATAGGTAAGTTCTGTGCATGTAAGTAAGATCATAGAAAATATTGTGCGGGATAGATAATTCTGAATCTCATATGTGATTGCAAAATTGATGTGATAGCATACGACGACATAGGAATCAAGTCAGTAAGTTTTCGACAAGACGTTAATTGTTTGAAAGAGACGAACATGCGGACCAGAATGCCGATCCTAAGATATTAAAGAACATAAGGTTACTCTTATAGGATTTCCTTGCACCTAAACAACGTTCAATTGTATGCATCCACAATATGATAAGCAGTGGAGAGTCTGACAATTTAGGGATTCAAGATGCCTTTTACGGTATAAAGTATAGGTTTGAAGGCAGTCGAGACTACTGAACTGGTCCCCACATCGCAAATTGCACTCGAAAGACCACCCTCGACTCTATAGGTATTAAAAATGCGTGTTTGTACGACTTTACTGGTGGCGGCCGTTGCTCTCTTCACTACTCAAAGCTTCGTAAGTGCGCACGATGAGTCTCGCAACTTGGTCACCTTCCAAGATCTTGAAGAGCGAGATGCAGGAATTTCATTCACACCGCCGGACGACCCAGCCGACAAAAGAGCAATCGAAGCAATTCAAAGTATTGGTCTTGGAGACGTAGACAAGAAGACACTCGAAGACTTTGTTGGTGCCGATGTTGTCGCTGCTGGTCCCAAGGCCATACTTAAAGCCCTGACCAAAAAGCCTGAGGCGGAGCTTACAGCCTTCGTGGACAAGAATGCACAAACTGGCTCTTCGAACAGTACACCACCGGCAAAGAAAGCACCGTCAGACTTAGGAGAAGTAAGCGATGAGGCCTTACAAGCACTAACAGATGCAGTTGGTGCAGATGTTGTTGCCGGCGGCCAAGCTGAGATCGCTGGGGCTTTGATGAAAATGGATGAAAAGCAACTCGATGATTTATTGGAAAAATTAGAGGAACGTAGCTCTTCTGGGGACAGCGGAAGTAAAAACAGCGACACCCCGGTAGCTCCAGCTACCCCCGCTACACCATCTACCCCATCTACCCCTGCTACCCCGTCTACACCTGCAACCCCATCTACACCTGCTACCCCATCTACTCCTGCTACCCCTGCTGACCCATCTACACCTGCTTCTCCATCACCTAGCGCAGACAACACCGGAGTGTATGCGGCAAATGCAAAGATTCTAGAATCCGTGCTTGGTAGCGACGTGGTTGCTGGAGGTCAGCCAAAAATCGCAGATGCTTTGATGAAAATGGAGGATAAAGATCTTGACGCTTTAATTGAAAAGCTATCACCAGTAGCAGATGATAATAGCGGCTCATCTTCAGGTGCCGGTACACCAAAGCGCTTCCTTGCTGAGGATACAATGAATACCGCACCTGTTGAATCACTTGACCAGGTTGATCGCAGACTTCGCTCTACTGAGAAGTAAAATCGAGATTCCATGTCTTGTGCGATGGCTAGATATTCATGCTGTAGATAATTTTGCAGTCGTAATGATAGTTGTCGTCTTACTCATTTATACATATTTTGAAATGTTGTCATATTTGAGTTTTGTCATCTGTATCGTAAGAAATTCGATGATCTCAAAAATTTTCTTTCAGTACGCTTGTATTACATTTCCTCGTCTTTGTAATTAAGCAAGACAATGTCTAGCATGACATTTGCAATTTATTGTGATTTTCGTTATCATACCATTTCAAAATGTAAGGCAATCCTACTCACAGCATTTTTTCTAAGTGAATATGAATGTTTGACAATATTGTGTCAATATTTTACCGACTCGGGACCGGTTTTCAAAATTATACCAGCGGTACGATTGCGACTATATGACATTACACTTTCTGGTTGCATAAGCCAGTAAGCCAGTAAAGTGACCAGTAAGATTAGAAAATAATTTATTCAGCGGTCTTACGGGCAGCAACTATTATGGCAAAGTAAGGACCAAATCATTTTCTTGCATTTTGCCACATACCACTCAAGTGAGCTACTTTTCTCGAGCATGTACTTCTAAAGGGACGTCGTAAAGTAATAAGTGGTAGAGTGTGATCTCTCGTCTGTAAACATTGTTACCGCTGAACAATCGCTTGTCTGCATATGCTCAGTAAGCAGGATATTTCAAAAGCAAGAACAGATCCACAATATAATTTCTCTTATTCTGCGATATCGGAGGAACATGCTTCCGAGTCATGTCGTCTCTTGTGGAGTAAGAGAAGGTTTTGAAATATTCCCACAGGGTAGAAATATCATAATCGATCATTTTGTACCGCGCCAGTCTTCGACCGACTCGAGTTATATGTGTAGCGAAAACATTTGACACGTAAATGCAATCCAGCTGAGACCCGGTGACAGTGTCTCAGATAACTGCAATCTCCATCATAAAACCGCTTTAAGAGGACCTCTGGCTCTCTCCCTATTTTCGAACTAACTGCAAAGCTCGATAACATCAGCGAAGTTTTTTGGGAGCATGAGGCGCTTCAAATGAAAGGTGCCCCAATTGCAACGGTGCGGGTTTCGACCACTCCTTAACTTTGGGGGCATAAGAGCTCGCGTTTCTTGCATAAATTCACAAGCATCTTGCTGAAAAAAAAATTATTGGTCTCGGTGTTGGTTCTCTATACTGCTGGTGGTGTCGTTTTTTTACAAGTGCCAGGGCCTTATGAGGTAAAGTCGTATTCGGCTTTGCAAGCCGATTGCAAAATGTGTAAGACCAGACGGTAAAAGCAGAATATTTCAGTGGTATGGACTCATTGTTTAAAAGACACAACAAGTTTAATGCATCATTTGTGAAGAATACCCTGACATGAGAAGCACCTACGTCAGCGCCCGGAGCAGAACTAACAGGCAATGATGGAATTTGTAGTGGCGGTGCGCTTTCTGCGGGAAGGCGACTCGGCTTGATTAGTCGTCATCTTGCCGTGATGGTTAAGAAACGATCCTGTGCAGTAAAATAAACTGCGCTTTGATAGTTTGTGTCCTTACAAGTGCCGTGGTCGATTAGATGCTCGATCTATCAGAAGGGAAAGCTGCCTATTGTTTTCTCCCGTTTTAAGTGAGAGAATGTAGCCAGATGCAGTGGTGTACATTAAATGTTGTGGCCATTTGAAGTATTTCAAACAATGTCAAATGGTTATCAGACACCGGTGGTCGATTATAACCACTGGCATTTGGTCATCTTTCAAGGGTGGCATAATGATCCACTTATATGTATCAAATTTAGCGGCATTCTATTCGACTTTAGCTAAGGTTGTAATCCAAATTTTGCAGAGCTATAATCAGTCATAAACTTACTAATCTTAGCTACAAATCCCCCCCATAGCCAAAGCCTAAGCTTTTATCGACTGGAAAATCATATAGGTCGCCACGTCATCAGTACATGTATCAAGCACTGTCATCCTACAACTGATGTTGATAAGGATAGCATGAACTATGGGTTGCGGGGTAAATTGTGACGAGAAGCACCGTGTTATAGTTTTGTGCAATTGTACAAGACCCACATTACATATCTGCGTACCTGTACAAACACCAAAAACAACAAAAAATTAGGTTAGCAAGGATACTGCGACTTTGTAAAGAAGGGTGCGTGGATAACTGTTAGCCCCCCCCGTCAAGTAATACAAATTAGCTTACAGTTATGCATTGAGTTATATATGCATAATTATTTTATTTATGATAAAGTCGACTTTGAAGCTATGACAACTTTCATAAATAAAAGCGATGTAAGGCTTTAGATCCATAAAACCACCTTAATTTCGCTTTAGATTGGGGTCTACAACCCCATTTTCTGTACAATAGTGTAGCGGGAATTGCCTATGTATACGCATTTATCGATTATCACGCTTCACCGCATCCTGCGGTGAATCAGCGGCCTGGTGGGCCGCTGATTTACACGAATGAGGCAGAAAAGATGAAGTGGCAGTTAATATGGCCAATAGGCCTTACACCTTTCCTCGAGTGATAAGTGCCTCCAATTCTAATTTAAGAAATTTGAAAGTATTGAATTACGTAAGATGTACAGTAAATATTACCCCCACACCCGTAATAATATGGTTCACACAACATGTGTGAGGAGACCGACCCCACTACACCATTCTTCGCTCAAAAAATATGGGTTGACCCATATTCTGGTCAAACGTTCTCCGACTCTGAGACTCAGTCGTTTGTGATCACACATGAATTGAAACGCATCGAGGACGACTTGCGCCTACGACGAGCGCAGACCTCATTTCTAGGATGCGAAGGCGCCACCGCCGTCATCGAACGTGGATGATGCTCCAATTCCACGTCCAACAGCGCATTTATACGTTGAGCTAAAATCTTATACCCAACGATCAGCTTGGGCAGGTACGGATTGCTTTGAAGAGCCCATTGACGAGTAAAGTCGTCAAGTTATTTGCGCTACCGTCAAATTGATCGTGGTCACAAGCTTCACGACTGTCGTTCTAAAGTTTGACAAATACTTTAGTCGAATGGAAGCTCGAGTGATGAATCAAACAGCGTATTCGACGCGCCATCGGTCCAATTTCCTGTACTGGAAGCGAACCACAGAGTCTCATGAACGTACCGTACACCCAGTAATTCCTTTCAGACAAATAAACCTCAATTTAAGATTTGGCTTCTTACAACCAAATCCGTGGATGTCCACCTTTTGCAAATGCGAATATCACCGCAGACTAGCGAAAGATTCGTGATGTACGCACTTACCAGCACAAGATCGGTTTCACCCCGACATCAAGATGCTCGTGAAGTACGTACGGTCATTTGTCGAATTTACGAGACAAAGGGAGCGAGAGTAAGGGAGAGAAAAGAAGGGATTGGATCTCCTAAGCGGAGTCCGTATTTGTTCCCGCGTCGACACGAGAACGATATCTCGATTTATCGCGAAGAATACGACTACAAGGCTCCTGCGTATTCTCGTTTGCTGAATAGCTCAGCAAACTAACCAAGAGCTTCCACCGACCGCGGACATACGTTCTTGACATGGATTATTGATTTTTCTATCAATCAAGAAGAAGGGGATGCCGGAAGTCGGCGTCCCTCTGCTTCTTCTGTGGCTGCTTCACGATCATTACTATTTAATTTGAATTTACAATTGATGAAGATGGAGAAACTTCATTTCGTTGTGTACCGGCACAACATCAGGATATTCGATCGAGTGTCGAGGGCGCGCGCGAAGCGCGTAAGAAACACTTTACGAGTCATCTGCAAAGTTCGCGATCTTGCAGAATGTCATGAAAATTTGCTCGGAGATGCAATCGAGAATCAGATTCAGCAAGTTTCAGTTGAGGCAAGCTCTGCAAGTCCTCCCTCTTAGTGCGGCTACTGCCGCTGATGATGCGTAGCCGCCTGCCAAGCGACCTCACTCTGGTTCGGGTGGATATGCTTACTATAATAAATCACCAGTGCAATCAACGGCCATCTGCTTCTCGTCGACGTTCCGACTCTTTCGGAATGTTGTTTTGTCCCAAAGCTCACGACTATCCTCGTTTTTCTGAGGGGATACTGAGGCGACAACGCCAAAGGGTTCGACTTGACCCTCGTGTCTCACAAACCATTTCTTCGTACAATTCTGTGTCACAGCCAGTTTGCGTCGTCGCGGTGAAAGCACTTGAGATGCCCTACGTAGAAAAATGAATGGGTTCTTATCTAGCTTAGTAGGTTGATAGTATTACCATTTCTATGGCGTGACACTAATCGGGAGTGACCGATGAAGCGAGAAAATAGCTTCAAAATTCCCAAAACTTAGACCACATCGTTTGATAGTTTTCTTAGTACTAAGCAGTACACAATTTCACGTTTTGCCTCGACGACCCCGTTTATCTGCATATTCATCTGGTAAATCCTGTGCATTCACCTTTGCTTCTCGCACATGTGTAATCATATCTATACGACTCGCGATGAATGACTTCAAGGCGTCCTTGTATTGCGCTTCACATTCGTATCATTGATCATATCAATTCAAGAGGCAACGATTCACCGAGCTCATCTACCACTTACATTAGAGACACTACCCACGCACGAAGATGTAACTGCGGTTGTCGCAAGCAGTTCATAAAAAACGTGAATCCACTGGATGAATAAATCGCTCATTGCAAACTTCACCAATGGTAACAACAAATTTCATTCCGCAAGATTTTTTACACAGAAGGATCTTAACGCATCACCAACCACCCGGTTGACACATTCTGAATGCCCATCCATCTCCGGGTGTATCATCGCGGACATATCCAAGCGAGCGCCGAGAATTTAAAACAATTTTTCGCAATAGCCACACAAGAATCGTGTATCTTGATCTGAGACGATGACTGAGATATCGATTTCGACATAGTTAATATGGGCTAGCTTATTATTAGGATGACGTGACAATGCGCAAGCCAGCACGCTCATTTTTTCTGGTCTATATGCAACCGTGAAGCTGAATTCTGCGAAGAA